ACCTCATGTATACCCGGTACATACCTCATATACACCCGGTACATACCTCATATATACCCAGTGCATACCAAATATATACCCGGTACATACCTCATATATACCCAATACATACCAAATATATACCCAGTACATACCAAATATATACCCAGTACATACCTCATATATACCCAGTAAATACCTCATACAGTATATACCCAGTACATACAAAAWATATACCCAGTACATACCAAATAAATACCCAGTATATACTTCATAAATATCCAGTACATACCTCATAAATATCTAGTATATACCTCATAAATATCCAGTACACACCTCAAATATACCCAGTACATACCTCATAAATATCCAGTACATACCTCATAAATACCTCATTTATGCCAGGTACATACCAGGTATTTATGAGGTATGTATCTGGTAAGTATGAGGTAAGTACCTGGCAAGAAATGTACCTGGTATCTACCCAGTTGTATTATGTATTGCTACCTTCACTATCAGGGATTTGAGAAAATGAGTATAGTTTCTTACAACCATATTTTTTCAGAAACACCTAATTATTATCTTAAAAATCCATTATCATGTTGTTCCTGCAACCTGAGATTCATTCTTTTAAAACTCCATTTTCTCGTATTGTTTTACAAAAGACTGATTGTAGCTTCACTTTTCCCCTAATGTCACATCAAACAAGAGCTGAGCTTACCCTGGTACTGACACACAACACAAGTTCCCAGGAAACCAACATTTTGAGGCTAAAGTTCAGAAACGGTAAACACTGTGGCTCCTGTTTCAGGAACATTTGGAACTGATTCAGTTTGCAATGCTGCTGCTGTCAGACAACAGTGCTGATGTCATCAGCCTCGTCAGGTTTCTTGGGCTTACTGGGAAGGGACTTGAGGTACTCCAGGTGGCGTCGGGCGTCCTCTTGGTTTTGACGAACATAATACACCACATATGAAATGACCATGGCAAACCAGCCAAACATGGTGACCAGCATGGCATAGTCTGTGGTCCTTTTAGCCAGATTACACAGGTCAGTGTCCACTGCCATGACAGGCCGCCCCTCCAGATCAAACAGCTCAGAGCTCCCGCAGACCACCCTGGACGCCACCTCGTGGTTGTGGGCCACTCCACCAGCGCCCTGCTGGAGGGCACACTCACAATGCCAGGGGTTATCATGCACAATGATGCGCGCTCTCAGCTTAGTGAAAGCGTTCTTGTGAACGTTAGTGATGTGGTTGTGAGAAAGGTCCAGCACCTGCAAAGTCCCATCAATACCGCTGAAGGCATCTTCCCCTAAAGTTTCCACAGCATTGTAGGAGAGGTTCAGCTCTCTCAGGCGCTTCAGTTCATAGAAGGCTTTCTCTGGCACAGCTCCAATCTGGTTGTGGTCCAACCTCAGGAGGACGGTGTCTCCTGGAAGGTTAGAGGGAATCTCCTTGAGACTGGACTGACTGCAGGTAACGTTGAGGCCATGGAGATGGGGGTCGCGCAGGCAGCTGCAGCCCTTCGGACACATGCTGGCTGAGGGGAAGCACAGGGCCATGAGGACAAGACTCTGAAGGAGCAGGCACATGGGGATGGAGCGGGACAGCCACAGGTCCAGCAGAGTCATACTGAGCAGCGGTCAGGAGCATCCCGCCTGGGGCTACAACACCAACACTACTTCCTTACACACATGGCATGGTGGCAGCTGGTTCTCACACTTCACTTGCTGCACATACAGATGTGATCATGATGCACTGTGGCCTGGAATGACAGAAAAGAACGTTATGGCAGACATGTTATTCATTGTTTTGTCATCAATACATCATTTCCATTCTACAGGTGAACTGGTTCACTGGAAACAGGTGAGTGTCATGATTGGGTATAAAGGGCGTGTCCTTGAAAGGCTCAATTCACAAGCAAGCACGTGGTGAAGTTCACCACTTTGTGAACAACTGTTTCAGCAAATAGTCCAACAGTTTAAAAATAAAGTTTTTCAACGCACATCGGCAACAAATTTAGTTATTCTAGTCTACTTATTTCTGTGGTCATTGTGGGTTTTTCTTTAATTAAATGAGGGATACCAACAAATTTTGTCCACATGTGTATTTCAGCCTGTATCTCATCAAGGCAGGCAAGTAAGAGTCTGGCATCTTTTTATCTAGAGGCAGATAAATCTGGCTGTTTTCCACATGATAGTGAAAGGAAATATGCTTCCTGAAAATGCAACCAAATGGGAGCAAATAAAGGAAAATGAAAAAGGACTCAAAACATAGCCCTGAGGAACTCCACGCACAAGAGTGGTAGAAAAAGATCCAACACCACAGAGACTGGCACAGAATTATCTACCTGCCAGGCAGGAACTGAACCCCTCTATAATACCCACCCACTGTTCTATATGAGAGAATAACATTTGGTGATCCACTGTGTCAAATGCAGCCAAGAGCACAAGAACAAAATTAAGAGCATAAAAAATTTAGTTAAAATGATTAAAAGAGCCGACTCAGTGATAAGGAAAGTAAAACTGATAAAATCCAAGAATGATGTTTCATTCATAAAAAATYCATCAGTCGACCACGCTTTGACTCATTTCTCAAGGATTTATGAAACAAAAGGCAGTTCTGAAATTACTCAAGAATCCTGGCTCAAAACTTGCTTTTTAAATCAATGGCTGCATGAAAGCTTTTTTTAATGATCAGGGTTCACATCAGAAGACAAGGACAGGTGGCCTCGAAGAGGAGCAGACTTCTTTAAATTAGGTGGAGTTCTATAGATTCAGTCAGGATGAAAAACGATTGGTTCAGCTTCCATCATATTAGGTTAAATTAGATTCAACTTTATTGTCATTGAACACAGTAACTTGAACAACAAAATTCAGCTTGGCATCTAACCAGAAGTGCAGTGTAGCTAGTGTAATACTGCGGGTATGAATTGAATATACTATAGACATATACACTCACCGGCCACTTTATTAGGTACAGCTGTCTAACTGCTCATTATCACAAATGTTGAATCAGCCAATCACATGGCAGCAACTCAATATGTTTAGACATGTAGACATGGCCAAGATGATCTGCTGCAGTTCAAACCAGCATCAGAATGAGGACGAAAGGTGATTTAATTGACTTTGAAYGTGGCATGGTTGTTGGTGCCAGACGTGCTGGTCTGAGTATTTCAGAAACTGCTGATCTACTGGGATTTTCACCCACAACCATCTCTAGGGTTTACAGAGAATGGTCTGAAAAAGAGAAAATATCCAGTGAGCAGCAGTTCTGTGGGCTCAAATGTCTTGTTGATGCTAGAGGTCAGAGGAGAATGGGTAGACTGGTTYGAGCTGATAGAACGCCAACAGTGACTCAAATAACCACTGGTTACAACTGWGGTCTGCAGAAGAGCATCTCTGAACACGCAATACATCAAACCTTGAGGAGGAGGGGCTACAGCAGCAGAAGACCACACCAGGTGCCACTCCTGTCAGCTAAGAACAGTAAACTGAGGCTACAATTCAATCAGGCTCACCAAAACTGGACAATAGAAGATTGAAAAACGTTGTCTGGTCTGATGAGTCTGGATTTCTGCTGCAACATTCAGGGTCAGAATTTGATATCAACAACATGAAAGCATGAATCCATCCTACCTTGTATCAACGCGTCAGGTTGGTGGTGGTGGTGCAATGGTGTGKGGGATATTTTCCTGGCACACTTTGGGCCCATTAGTACCAACTGAGCATGGTGTCAACACCACAGCCTACCTGAGTATTGTTGCTGACCATGTCCATCCCTTTATGACCAGTGTACCATCTTCTGACCATGTCCGTCCCTTTATGACCACAGTGTACCGTCGTCTGACCATGTCCATCCCTTTATGACCAGTGTACCATCTTCTGACCATGTCCATCCCTTTATGACCACAGTGTACCATCTTCTGACCATGTCCATCCCTTTATGACCACAGTGTACCATCTTCNTGACCACAGTGTACCATCTTCTGACCATGTCCATCCCTTTATGACCACAGTGTACCGTCTTCTGACCATGTCCATCCCTTTATGACCACAGTGTACCGTCTTCTGACCATGTCCATCCCTTTATGACCACAGTGTACCATCTTCTGACCATGTCAGTCCCTTTATGACCACATTGTACCATCTTCTGACCATGTCAGTCCCTTTATGACCACAGTGTACCATCTTCTGACCATGTCAGTCCCTTTATGACCACAGTGTACCATCTTCTGATGGCTACTTCCAGCAGGATAATGCTCCATGTCTTAAAGTGTGAATCATCTCAGACTGGTTTCTTGAACACAACAGTGAGTTCACTGTACTGGAATGGTCTCCACAGTCACCAGATCTCAATCCAATAGAGCATCTTTGGGATGTGGTGGAACAGGAGATTCACATCATGGATGTGCAGCCAACAAATCTGCAGCAACTGTCTGGTGCTATCATGTTAATATGGACCAGACTCTCTGAGGAATGGTTCCAGTACCTTKTTGAATCAATGCCACCAAGGATTAAGGCAGTTCTGAAGGCAAAAGGGGGTCCAACCTGGAACTAGCAAGGTGTACCTAAAGTGGCCAGTGGGTGTACTACTACTATACACATCTTTGTAAAGTTTAGCAGGGTGACAGCTGAGGGGAAAAAGCTGTTCCTGAACCTACTTGTTCTGGAACGAAGGGACCTGTAGCGCCTCCTGGAGGGAAGAAGGGTAAACAGTCTGTGGCCTGGGGGAGAGCTGTCCCTGGCAATCCTGTGTGCCCTCCATAGGTACCGCTCACTGTGGACAGTGTCGATGGAGGGAGGGGCAGACCAGTTAATCACAGGGCAGTTTTCACCACCCGCTGAAAAAAACCTTCTGGTTTGTGACGGAGCAGTTACCATACAAAAGACTGATGCAGCTGGTAAGGATGCTCTCTATGGTGCTGCGGTAGAAGTTCACCAGGATCTGAGGAGACAGATCTTCAGTTTCCTCAGGAAGAAGAGCCTCTGATGAGCCTTCTTGATCAGGATGGAGGTGTTAACTGACCAGGAAAGATCCTTGGAGCGGTAGACCCATAGAAATTTAAAACTGAAGCCACGCTCCACCTCAGGTCCGTGGATATGGATGGGTGTACCTCCAGCAGTTCTCCTGAAGTCCACAATGAAATCCTTGTTCTTTTTGGTGTTGATGGATAGGTTGTTAAATCATAAACCTGAACAGACCACCAAGAACTCTGTTGATTTAATTTCGTTGGTAAGAATTAAGATTCAAAGACTGAAAAACATCCTCAGAAACAGAAATAATGAGTTCCACCTCAGGCGGATAATAGATGTGAAAAGTCTTGTGGTCATGTGAGACTGGAGGTTCTGATGCCACTAATCTGATCCAAGCTGTCAGGGTTTGATTGGGATTTTATGATAACAGCAGATTATGTCTGTCTAATATGAATACATGTCCACCCCCTCCTGACCATTATTAGTACAAGCTAACTGAGCTGATTCAACTTATTGTTCTTGTGCTAACGGTCTCTGCCAGCATTCTACTGATCAATCATCTGAAACAACAGAATCATTCAGGTTTGGCTCTCATTGAAAAAATAAACTCATTTAGACTGAATCACTCTGGTTTCACGGTCTTCATCAGGCTTTCTGCTTGAACAKAAACAGAAACATTAGATCTTCAGACAGAAGAGTCAGTGTCAGCGGCCCTCCTCTCTGTCCCAGTGAAAGAACTGAAAAATGACATGTTAGCATCACTGCAGGGAGTCTGTGGGGGGGTTGTCTGTCTCTCTTGCCTTTTTTTTTACTATCGCACAACAAACCAGAAATATTTATGGTATTACTGACAGAAATTCAACCAATCATTATAAAATATTAGTAATAAAAACAGCCTCCTGTCTGAACTGGAGGCTGGATGGTTGTAAACAGTGAGTATATTAAAATAATCCACTTCAGTGCTTTTATGGGCATTAAATAACATCTATACAGATTTTATTATCCCCATCATTTGAGAAGCTTGAGGATGTGTACACACACACACACACACACACACACAC